CGCCTCGACCCCCCCCCTTAATTCCCGAGGGTGTTTTAGGGGTAGCGGTGCCGAGAGCCCTTGCAATGCCTCCCCAAGCGGCGGCTCCGAAGGGTGATTTTTCTTAGGCTGGAAAGCAGAGGAGTTTCCCACATGGTAGCTCGGTGCTTTTCGCTTTACTATGTTAACATCCCCCCGTGGAGCTCCCATCCTGCGTGGCCGGGGGCTCGGGCTGGGCGCGGGAGGGGCCGGGGCCGCCCAGGGCTCCCTGCGCCCGCCTGCGCCTGGAGCTGCTCCGAGCACTTCGAAAATAATTAAAGCCGCATCTCCATGGAGAAGCTCGCACACAATTTCGGGGGTGGGGGGAGGTTTCACAGGGGGTTTGACACTCGAGTTTGTGAGGCTGGTGGCTTCTTCATAGCCCTGTTATTCTCAGAGAGAAAGAGGATACTTCCAGGCTGGAGAAGCTGCCTAATACTAAGCTTGATAGGCAATCACTGCTAATTACTAATGAATGGAAGTTGGGAAACTTCAAGTGCCACTGGAGGTTGTTTTCTCTCCTGAGGTCCCAGGAATTCCGAGGTAGCCACGGTGACAGGGTATCTCTTCGCGGCTCCTGGGGAGCCCATCTCCACTAGGAATTTCTCCCTTTCAAGTAATAATTAGACCTCTAAATATTTTAGGGTACAGTCAGACCTGGGGTGAAGACAGGGAGGGGCTAATAGAGTGCCCTGGTCAATACAGTTCCTGGCAGACTTAATGCCCAGGCAGTGGTCGGCTTGGAGGAGGGAAAGCAAGCTGCGAGTATTGCTGCTGCTGCTTGTTTGGGGTTTTTTTTTTCTTTCCCCGATAGTTATGCAATGTGAGCCTGATCCTAATTCCAAGGAATGAATGAGTGGCACCCTGACCTTGAATGAGTGAAATGGCTTAAGACCTTGATTAAAATAAATAAATAAATTTTAAAAGCATATGAAGTGAGACTCCCTCCCTCGGGCTGCCTTGTCTCAACTCCAGTGGGAGCTCGTTAGAGAAATGAGGACAAGATCATTGTTGCTTTGACCACAGCCAACTCCTGCTGCTGATAAGATGCTTTTGTTTTGGGCTCTCAGCCTTGTCCTGATAGTGATAGAGCTGGGCTGCGGATGCCTTTGGGAAAGGATCCATTGTGGGGGTTAGGTCTTGTTATGTGAAACTTAGATACGATTCTTTGGTCAACATTTTCCCTTTTTATTCCCTTCTTGTTCGCGCTCCCTTCCTCCTATCCCTGGGATATATCTGCCTGCTAAGGCCTTATGAAGAGGGAAGGATACTCTTCTGCATAGCTGAATTTCTTACTAGTTTTGCTAGATGCTTTCAAGTGGTCCTGTGACCAACGTGGGGAAGAGACGGGGAAAGGGGGTTTTGTAGGATGAAGAAATGCAGTTCTGCACTGTTACAATCCTCTCTCCTCCACCAAGCCTCTCCCCAGGGTGCCTTGGGCACATTAGGAGACATACAGATTCTTCATGGAAATCAATCTTCTAGCTCATCTCGGCAGAGAGCTGGAGGGAAATCCCTTGGGTGTGTGAGAGGAGAGTACCTGCTTTCCAGTACGTGCCGCAGGGGGGCTCTTTCCCGTGGACACGGGTGTCTCTAGGATCGAAGCCTTGCAGAGTTGTGGTGTGATGTGCTCTCAGAATGGGGGACAGGTGGTGGATGTGGCTCGTGTACCCAGCACGAACTGTCACAGGGGGTTTCTAGGTTACATCAGCCCAGTCCCGGAAAAACTCAAAAGTCTCCCACCCCTCCTCCACCAAATCAAGAAGAAATAGCACCCTACTATCTGCAAGGCAGTAATTTTAGGGAATAGGAAAAGTTTTCTGGCTGCCTATGTTGGAGGATGACCCATGAGAGGCTGATGGCAATCTCGTATTGCAAGAGAAATCTGTAACGGGGCTTGGGTGGCGGTAGCTGGCTGTTAATAAAAGCTTGTGCCATCTACTCCAGTGTCTCTTCAGTATTGCTGAACTGAAGAGTCTCCTAATCTGTTTTGCTATCATCAGGCTTGTCTAGCATCTCTGCTTACAGCCTGCAGACTCAGCTTTCATGGCGATAACGACAGTGCAGAAAGTTGAACATGGCCATGTGTGTGTATGGAAACAGAGCTGTCAGTGGTAAACTCTCAGGGGAAGTACCATGTGTAGATACGCTGTCTAATGACATTCACAAAATACCAGAAAAAAAAACAAATTATACCACAAGGAGTAGTGATCTTTGCATACTTCAGCCACACATACTGTTTGGGTAATATAATGAATTATTTATTTAAACCAAATCCAGTTACCTTTACCCGTGTTGGGGAAGAGCTGTAGTCTGAAAAGAATCACCTTTATTTTCATGCAGGGACTTTCCCAGCAGGAGTACAAGGGCAGATTCAGCTTTTTTTTCTCTGTGTGAATTTAAGACGTAAGCGAGAGGGATTTTTTTTATGCATGCTATGTATTGCAGACATTTTTTAACACGACTTTATGGAAGCTTATTTTTAAATTACACATTTTTAGTGCACATGTGTTTTTTTTTCTCATAACAAACAATCTCTGAGAAAGTGCATATTACATTTGCGTAACAGCAGGTTTCTGCAGAAATAAAAGAGAAAGCATTTCCTTGAAGATTAATATTCGATGCACTTTCTAATTGATTTTTTGGCCATGCTTCCTACTGTCATTCTGAAACCACTACAAGACTTCAGGTGGGCTAAAATGTGTATTTTAAATTTAGTGCTTGATGAATTGATTATAAGGGGCCTGATACTTAGGGAAACAGATGCCTGTGTTTAGATCTAGGATCCTAACATGAGGCACAGTCTCAAAATCACTGTCCAATTTGTCTTTAACCTTCCCTGCATTAAGCCTGAATATGGACCTCTTTGTAACGCTGTGCTTTTTGATTTTTATTTTTTTTTAACATTAGCAATTTTTCATTCTATCTGTACCTGCCAAAATTATTCTCTATAATCTTGGTGAAACAGATACTGTGACACAGCATGTTCTTTTCTTAAAATGGCCTTACCATCTTCAAGTGTTCAGGAGTGACCCTTATAGCTACATGTTAAATTGCGAGAACTGCAAAAGGAGCAACTTCTTTTTTCCCCGCTTCGCTTTATTTGCCTCCTGGTATGGTTGCCGCCAGAATACATTTCTTAATGCAGGCTGAAAAAGCTGCTTTCTGACCTTGCTTTGCAATTATTAATTTCTAACAAGGAGAATTGGAAGAAGTATTTGGAAAGGTCTCTTGATCAGAGTTTAGACATCTCTTTCCATTTCATCAAGACTGAGACTGAGACAATCTACAAAATTCCACTGTAGCTAAATATTCTACTTCTGGTAGCACTGAGGTGAAGAGTTTTAAACAATTAGCATTCAGTGGCCTCAGATTTTAAAATAAGGCCCGAACATGCATTTACAAAACATGAAGAATTTTCTGTTCCCCAAAGCTGGTCTGTTTTTCCATTGATGTGTCACCTGATCACCTCTCCCTCTAAATCTTGCAAAACTCAAGGTATCTCTGACAGCTGTGACTTTTCTGCTTCCCATTTTTGCTTAGGAGGCTGCCGGTTGAGGACCAAGTTTTTGGAGTTGGCCAGGAATTTCTGGATGTAACGCAGGGAGCTTAGTGGTTTTTTTTACATTGCATAAACATGGACTTACCGAAAGCAAAACTTAACAGATAAAGAAGCCAGATTTCCTGCAGCAGCAGCCCACTTCTGCATCTAGGCTGGGAGCCAGCGAGTTGGGAGTTGGTGTGGTGGGAGGGCAGACCAGGAGGCAGAATAACGAGTTTGCAGCTTTGGGAGCTCTTTGCTGGGATCTCCTTCAGTGATCCTGAAAATTTCATCCTGGGCTCAACACACTAAAGCCCTGAAAATCCCTTCCTGCGCAGATCAGCCTCTAAGTCTGGAGAAGAGGTGTTTGCCTAGCTTGGTATTTAAGGTGCCAGGATATGCTTATGCATGCCCAGAATGTGCTGTGGTGGACAGATGGGATTCTGTGTGTGTAAAAAATACTGATTGTGCGTGTGGGCCTGGATCTATGTTTATAGAGATGTGTGTTTATATGCATCCATATGTTTCTTGTTCCTTTTGCCCTAATACCTATGCATGGAGTAAAGAAGAAAGAAGGCTGAATTCTTAACTAGGCTCCTGGCTGACACTGTGTGCATATATATTAACCAGCCAATTAATGCACGTGTGTGGTGGTCCGTGCTTTGCAGATAAACATGTTTGTGTTGCCTTCACACGTGCTGCTAACCCAAGTGCTCACAAAAGTGTTAGTTCTGGCTAGTGGAAGGGCAGCACAGAGGGTGCAGACGTGCTCCAGTGTGGAAACAGATGCTGAAGCAATGGTGAGTCCCATGCAAAGAGAAGGGGCAGAGAGCCTGGCTCTTGCTGCATGGGCCCACTGGAGTCCAAGGACTTGAGATCAGGCCTCAGACTGCAGTGTTTCTGTGCACTAACATGTGTTTAATAATTAATTAGCTTTGTGTTTTATGCTGGCTTAGAGGAAAGGATGTTTGTTTGCGAAAGTAATCCTTTATTATGGAAACAGAAAAGCCTCTTAGAAATGGAAGGTACCGTGTAAATTTTTTTTTAGGAAACCAAAGGCTTTAATTTCCTAGATTTCACTGTTACAATTTTGTATTACTGAGATAAGAAAAAGTAGCTTTCATGCAAATGCTAATCGTGTAACTACTGAGATTTCAGTAGGTCATCTCACCATAATAGTCTATGCTTCAGTTTTCAAGAGATAGTCTGAGCTGATGTGTTTAAATTAGGGGGAAGAAGCAATTAACTAGCAGGAAAAGTTTGATCCTGCCGTGGGAAGATGTACAGCTGGGTGGTGATGGAGAGCTCCCGTTTCCAGAAAAGCTGTGGAAAAAAGCAATTGGGGAGATACAGAGAGCGCAGCCATTTGCAATTGGAGGGCCCCTTGCCAGCTCCTCACAGGTAGAGTCCAGTTGTATCACTGGGCACAGACTAGGGAAGTCCCATTTGTTCCTATTTACACTTGAGAGAAATGTTGGTCAAATTAAATAAGGGTTTTGCTGTGCTAGGAGTGAGTTCGCCTCATGTGGAAATACTGTATTTCTTTCAAATGATGCATTTTATTTTATTTTATTTTATTTTATTTTATTTTATTTTATTTTATTTTATTTTATTTTATTTTATTTTATTTTATTTTATTTTATTTTATCTATTTTATTATTTTATTTTTTCTGCCCTGGATGCAGAAATAGCCCCAGGATCAAACACTGTAACTGGCTAACTCAGAACAAAAAAAAAATCTGCCGTTACTTAAATATACTTGCTTATGCATGTGAAAGCTGTAAACTATCAACAAGAACAAAAACGTAAGCCATAGGCTCAAGTACACCCCTCACCCAGTTTCTGCAGAGCTCCTTTTCTACCAGAGACTCAAACCAAGTGCTTGTTGGCAGTGAGTATTCTGTTTGAGGTATAAAATAATTACCTTGTCAGATTTTCATAGCATTTATTATCTGAGTGTAAAACAAGAAGGTCAGACTCCTCTACTACAGATACCTGCTGTAATTGCTCTATTACTGTTTTGAATACATGATGTAGTTCTGTTTCTTGGCAAAACACACACATTAAACCTTACCTTTACAGAAAAGTTTTGTTTTGTTTGCTAAGCCACAGCTCAGTAGAAACAAAGATAGGAAATTCTGGCTATTTGTAAAGCTGCCTGCATTTATAATTTTGTTTATTCTGTATTGCTTGAACTTGTTGGCCAAACTGAACGTGTAATAAAGACCCAGGAAATGCACTACAAGTAATTAGTTTTTCACTTTTTTTTTTGATGCTGCAGCCCAACTGGGGATGTGCACTTATTAGTTTTTATTTACATTATATTTAGTTTTGTCAGCGTCAAGGAGAAAAATAGAGAAGGCATATGAAGAAGTGAACAGCATTTGCAGGATGCTGTGATCCCAGCACACCAGAGCTGGATGTGCTGTACTAGCGTATCTCCTGCAGCCGAGCCCCGAATGCCCACCTGATGAAAGCTTGTTGTGCTGTCGTATGAAAACACCAGGTACAGCTTTCTGCTCCAGGTCTGAAGGGTTTAAGCAGCTGAGGAGCATCAGTGCTCAAAGCATGGATGCTAGGGGGGTGCCACCTGCTCCTTTCCCCACCTTATAAAAGCTGGTGGAGCAGGAACAGCTCACCCTGACGACTCTGCCAGAGGCTGCCTGCATGTCACCAGAGCGGAGCCGGCCTCCCAGACCAGGGAATTTCAGGACAGTGTGCCCGCATGGAAACCAGAAGCGGCCAGTTGCCCCGTGACTTTGTTTTCTAGACCTCCTGCTCCGGAGGGTACCTACGAGGTGGGGGAACCACCAGCAGAGCAGCCACAAGTTCTTTGTTGACGTTTTGTGGCGGGAAGCAGCCTGTTGCCCTATACTGTGCACCTAACCCTGGTGATGCTCCTTTTCCTAGTTTTGTGAAATCCCTTTGGTCCCTCCAATATTGCATGGAGTAACTTCAGCTCCCCGGGATATTTCTCTCCTTTGTACACCTCTGTGTAAAAGAATCGTGCTGGCGTGTGGAGATTTCTGTGCCATGCAACTGCCATTCAGGATTTGTATTGGGAGAGACAGGATTAATATATAGGAAACAGATCTCTGGCTTTGTTTCCTTCACTTCAAGTCTGCCAGTTCCTTAGCTATTTCGGACCTGTGCTGTGGATTTTATAGTCAGAGGTGTTATTTTACTATCAGCACTAGATAAACAAAGATCATTAGTCTGGTATCACCATTCTGCTGTCAGTCTGGGATCTCCTTCCTTCTGCCCATATAGTTTTCTTGTAGATGACTTTCAGGCTATTTCTGGACTCTGCAACATATGGATATATTCACTGCCTGTCTGTGTTTGAACTCTGGGATCCCATATGCTGTGGCTCTGACTGGGTCCCTATTTGAAGCTCTCATTCCTCTGAGTAGGTTTTCCATGTGTTGAGAGCAGTCTGAGAGCCAATATGGGTATCTATTGCTATTACCTGCACCAAAGTTGAATTTGTCCCCAGACCTTAGGTTGCAGAGCGATGCAGCAAAAGGATAACTGTTTTTATAACAGTGCCCTGTCTTGAAGACTTGATTTTTGGTATCAGGCCAGATGGACAGATCCTAATGCTGTGCCCACAGCCAGACCCAGATGGTTTAGGTTACTGTGAATGAGGTAGAGCATTTTGTTTCTAGCTTGGGAGTTCAAATCCAGATTAAAACTCTAGACCAAAATAAATTGTCACTTCCCTCCCAGCTTGAAGTTCTTCCATTTGAGAACCTGTAGCATCCTTGGCATTTGTTGATTAGCAGGCAGATGGTCCCAGAGACTGTGCTGCTAGGCTTGGCTCCTTCAGAAAAGCACTGAGGTGCGTTGTGGGGTGCTTGAATTTGTTATCTTTTAGAAGAACCAGCCTTTGTGTGAAGGTGGGAGATAGCCTTCTATCTTTCTCACAAAATATGACAGGTGACAAGATGTAACACCCTACCCACTCTTAGAAAACTTTCACTGCTCTGTGCTGATGTAGTTAAAATGGGAAACCAAGCATAATGGCAGTGCTGTTACTATGATTGTAGGAGTGATAACATCTTTAACTCATTCCACATCAGAACAACGTTAGCAGAAAATTTGTTTGAACTAGAGCTTTTACCAGTAAGACCACACTGATTTTAAAAAAAAAACCCAAATCAACCAAGTCAACAACAAAAAGGAAAGGGAAGGAGAAAAAAAAAAAAAAAGAAAAGGAAGCATCAGACTTCCTGGAATGGTTGTACTGCTAATACTTTATAGTGTAGCTAAGGAGAAGTTTGCATGTGACCCTTTCCCTCATCCGTCTATGGAATTATTCCAATTAAAATTAATCTATGCAACTCAAGTTTCAAATGCTTGTGATAAAGTACTTACAAAGTAGTTGCTGAAACATATGTAGAATTTATTTGGTAGGCAGTTTCAATTAGTAAGTCCTGAGAAATGTCCGTGCTTATGGAAAATTCTGTGAGCTGGATATCCAGCCAAAATGCTAAAATGAATGATAAATTCTGCCAGCTTTTATTAAACTACTGTATCTGGGAAACCCTCCTGTGCAGTTCCAATCCGTAGCACGGGTGGCTGGTTTCTCTGAGAGCTGTAGTAACAAACTCAGTGCTGTAGTTAATGGATCTCAAATTTGCGTTTGTCCTGTAATGCTATTCTAGTTGTCAGAAACCCTGTTCTTTTTTTTTTTTTTTCTTTCTTTCAACTTTCTCAAATAATTAAATGGGTCAGGTCTTTACAGGGTGCTGGCTGTGTGGTGGCTGTAAATATTGCAGTGAGCAGCCCCGAGCTTCCATCCATCACTGGCCTCTGCTGGGAAGAAGCCGAACTGCCCTTGTCAAAGATAGGATTTCTCTAAGTAACCCGAAGCAGTCCGGTGTGTTGCTTTTGTTGTAAATCAAGGCAAGTCCTACATTTAACTCTCATAAATTCATTGAAAAACCCAACCCTATACTACTGAAATGGAGATTTAATTTTAGCTCAGCAGTCCTGGGCTGTGCTTTTAGACAGAGTGCTGTCACAGAGAGAGCTGAATTTGGTGGTGTGGGAAATTCTGCGTGGCCACCCCACATGGTTTATCAGCCGGCATGAAATACAGTTTGGTCATGGATATATGACAGTAGCTCAAAAGTCTTAACTCAGCTGAATGCTGGCTGTGTTCAGCAAGTAGTAGGAGATTGGACCTAAAAAAGGAAATTACGAGCTCGCCCAGTCTTACCATTTATACACTGGGATTATAAACAAATAAATTAAGTAGGGATGGCTCTGGTTTACTCACTCAAGGAGTGAACTGGGACGTAATGTTTTTTGTCATGTTATTACCTACCTTCTCAAACAAAACGTAAATGTTACACTCTTAACTTCTTTGTCCACAGAAAGCAAATGGAAAGAGTGACCTCAGTGTTTACATCAAACCAGTCAGCGAGTGTGTCCCAGATACTCATGACCGAACTAGATTATTTGCTTACCTGATGAGTAAAATGGTAATATGTCAGGCCTGCTTTCTCCCAGAGTGTAGAACCAAACAGTGAAAACCTGAAACCCAACAAATATTAAGTAGAGAAACTGACACTGTTATTAGATGGTCGTTGCATATCAAACTACAGCCAGACAGGTGAATCTCTTCCTTGTGTGGGTAGTAAAAGAGGTGGGATATGGCCTCCCCTCTCCTGATGGCAGAGGATCTTCCTTTCTGCCTACTCGTTCTTTATGAAACACAAGTGAAATGAAGGAGTGATTCTGAAATCTGTGCTGTGGGTGAGCACTGTCTTTACACAACACCAAGTGCAGCAGAAGCTTCTGTTTAAGGCTTGTAGCTGCAGCCAAGATGTGGTGAATTAGCTGTAACCGTGACTAGTGGATTCTTGTCCCACAGGAACCTTATGCTTCCCTGTGTCAGTTAATTTTAGAACTGCGTTTCAACTGAATTCAGCACTTTACAACTGCTTCAGAGTAACTTCTAAAGTGAACTGTCAATTCTGAATTTGAGTGAAGTATTAAAAGTCGGAACTGGAGCACATTTACATGTTTGGAAAAATCGGTTGTTAACATTGGTGGAATGACAGGTGGATCAGGACATGTTTGGTCTTCACAGCATTTCTGTCTTTTAATTTTTACTTCACCATTTAACCCCCCAAACTTAATAGGCAAATGTACTTTTCTTCTCTTAACTTTAAAACCATTCCATTCCTCCTACAATTTAGATACAGTTCAGAATAAAACCCAGACAGAACAGCAAGTGGATTTTTTTTCCATCTTCCTTCTGATGGGGATTAAGCCACTCAATTTCATTCTGCAAAAACCTTGTTTTCCTTCTAACTGAACATATTTTGTTCATGTTAAGTATATTGTATGTTGGTAGGGAAACTAGTATTCCAGGCTCTAAAGGCTGAAACATGCTGAGTGATTAATTAAAAACCTACATTTATCTTGCTTGACTGATGTAATAAAAGCAAGATAACATATCAGCACATGCTGGATTGACCACAGTTTCTGCCAGCAATAAACTTCTGTCACTTATTAATTGGTAGTAACAAACACTAAAGACTTATTTCATAGCTGCCTGAAAGGTCAATGATGTAGGTCCTGGGAGGAAAGGGAAAAGGCGGTGGTGCTATTTTCTTTCCTTTCTCATCATTGTTGCTAGCATAGAGGCAGATTTGGGTCATCCTTTTTTCTTCTTCCATCTAATACAGAGCTTTTGAACCCACTCAGAGCAGTTAGTCTCTGTTGTGAAGTGACGGTCATACTGTTGTGTACTGGAGCTGAGAGGAACTCTCTCCAGTTCACGAGGGCATAAGTAATGGCAGAATTTACCTCTGACCTGGTTTTGTAATAATGTGGATTAACATCTGTGACTTTCTCTTAGCAGAGTCAAGCTACTTTACAAAAATAAGGAAAACAGCAGTGTCCCCAAATTTCTCTTTTCCTTGGCTGAAAATGTTTAAGCTTCCTTGCCCTGTTCTTCTCAAGCCTACTATCTTAAGTTTAAAAAGAAAAGAAGCAACAGTGTGCCCCCCCTGTACTTTTATGTCACAGTTTTGTTTCTAATTGTTACCCATCAGATTCTCTCCCGTAAAGCACACATTTTTCTCCAAGAATTGACTGCTTATCTGGGAACTGGAAGACTTGTTCAGCATGGTCTAACAACAGAAACCTCCCTGTGAAGCACTTTCTGTCAATCAGCTATTGCTTGGCAGCCTAGCATTAAACAGACATGGAGAAAAAAGGAGAGAATAAAGGTTTTGAATAGAAAGAGAACTACAAATCTTCCTGAAGCGTTGGTTGGTAGCATCTTCACATTTTCTGTGCTTTCTTGAGTAGCTCTTGTCAGTAACCAACTAATTTTGGTCTGAGCCGCTTTTGTAGCGCTACTTCATTAGAGCTTGAGTTCATGACGTTGCTTTTAGGCACTACATTAGCTGAGCACTTGCACACGTGTTTGTCCTGCACACTTTACCACACAGACAACTTTAAAAATAATGTTGAAGTGCTCCGCTGAAATGTCAGTGAGTAGCCATGTCTTGCCCCCTCTCCATCCTTGAGATATAAGTACCAGTAATTTGTGGCTGGGGCACACTACATCTTAATGCTGTGTTAAAAATAGCAAACTTTATCTCATGGCTTTTATCTCAGTGTTTTTAGAGCTGATGTGACACCAGGTTCCTGTGTGACAACAGTAGTCAACCTGTTTGGTTACGTACTTAAAAGGAGAGATGGGTTGTCGATCAGGAGTGAGGCAAAGCGGGCTTTGTTAGCAGTGCTAATTGCTATCAGCAGTATTGATCCAGCTCAGTTAGAAATATACCATGGTCACTTGAATTTACCGACTCTAACTAAATCAAGCTATTTCTTATAATACAAGTTTTCCTTAAGATGGATGTACTGATATGAAGAGGAGATTTCCATCACCTATTATTTAAACATATTAAAATATTTACCAAAGAAGTACCTGATTGCATGCATAGATATTGTTTGTGTCGATTAAGATTATTATTAATATTAATATATGTTTACAATGGCACTTGGCCTTTTATAGTTTTATAGCGCGGTCTAGAGTGCTGTGCGGACATTAATTAAGTGAATCCTATCAATAAATAAGTAAACAATTACTTATTAGACATTTTACATGCAAGGCAACTGAAACAAGAATATTACAGCTGTAACTGCCTGTGATTCTCCTAATATTAGGAGGCACTGGGGTTACCCAGTATCTCTGAAGAACAGACTCTCAGACCCTTGGCCAGTGCTAAGCTACAAAAGAATATTTAGGATACAGCTGAAACTCATGTCCTGTGAGTTTTAGTCCTGGCTCTGCTCTACAGCAAGAGAGGGAAGGAGCAAATTAAATGGTCCTGGAGAGAATGATCTTGGTGATAAGGTTATTTGAGGTGCTAAAACTTTTGCAGAGTATTATCATCTTGGGAGATGCTTTGAAAACACAGAAGAGCCTTGAAGGAGTGACAGGATACCCAGAGGAGCACCATTGCTCCAGGCAGGAGACAGGCACTTGTACCAAAAGTTATTGTTTACCTTTGGTAATCAAATGTAGAACTGGCAAAACTGCCTTTGGGGTACCATCCTTTTTTACCTTGTATTTTTAAAGCATTTACTGGCACAGTAATTTGACTGGTTTTCTGGCTGTGATGTCATTTACACTGCACAACTGAGGAGCAGTTCCTTGAAGTCACTACTAACATGAGCAAGTTCAGTTGAGGGACAAGTGCTCCTAAAGAGTGTCTGAAGTCTAATTTCTGTTTGTCTTTTTCTGTTTTGGTGTTTGTTTTTTTTGGTTGGGTTTTGTTTTTTTTTTTTTGGGGGGGGGGAAG